TTAGTAAGTTCAAAAAATTATTGTGATATGATGTTTGAAACGCCTATGCAATATTAAATCTTAGATATTTTCTGTTTTGTGTTACCATATATATTATTACAAATGTGTATACCTTATTACCTTATTACTTTCTGTCTACGAATTATTTTTCTCTATTTTTAACTCTTGTTTTTTTCTATTTTAGAGAGTGTTTGACTAAGAGTTTATTTGAATTAATTTATTTTGAATACTAAAATAACTTTGAAGTATTTTTGTAGTGTTTGAATAAAATATAAAAAAAATTTAAACATTTGTTTTAAACTCAAAAAGACAAAAACTTGTCAAAAGTCATAAGTTAGAATTCTTAACTATGACTTTTAAGTCAAACTGTAACATCTCGCTAATTGAAATAACAAAGGAGAAGATTATAATTGGAAATAGTCATTTTTGGAAAGAATTAAAATCTGGAAATTTGTTTAAGTTAGGAAAAGTGAGTTTTTTGATCAACTTCAAACGACCATAACTCTTGGAATGATCTTTTCAACGCCGGTGAGTTTGCACGATTCCGAGTTTGTATGAGTAAGTTGTGCCTTTCGGAAGTTGGGCTGCTGGATTAAGGAAATGTCTAATCCGGGTTTTGAAGGGTAATTTAGTCTTTTCCTTACCTAATTACTCTAATTCTTTTTTAGGAGATTTATTGGGGTAAAACCAGATTTTGGTCAGTTTAGAAAATTAGAATTCACTCTAGGGCTTGGAGAAAAGAGAAAAGAGGAGAAAGAAGAAGAGAAGTCAAGAATCGCCAAGATCGACGAAGTTTAACTTGTGGAATTCGTCGAGGGTGATCCCTACAAGGTATGTGATATCACATAGTGTTGGGTTAGTTCACCCACATGCCAATCTTGTTTCAATTTAGCGAATTTAAGTTGTTTGAATGCAAAGAAAGTGAGTTCTTGAAGAACATTGTTGAAAATTCATTGAGTTCTTGATTGTTGTGTTGTCGAAATCTCTTGTTGATTTGATTCGTGTTTCTAGGTAAATTTTCGAGTTAAATCTATTGTATGTTGAGGGTACTATTGATCCTAAGTGTTTGAGGAAAAAACCATGGAAATTTGAAGGGTTTAGAGATGAAAAACGAAGGAGAAAAGTCGGAGTTCACCTAGGGAAAGGGTAGGGTGTCACGCCAGCCAGCGTGCCCCAAAAGGGGCTCTAAAGTTTACCCCTTGGGGCGATGCACCAGCCAGCGCGCCACAGCTTGACCTTTGAAGTTTGAGGGTTGGCGCCCCGCGCTTCTCAGAGCGCCAGGGACGCTAATTCTCCCCATTCTTCCCCCACCTTTTCGTGCTAGTTCCTAAGTGATGTACCTATGTTTCCTAGTTGATTCTAACACTCTAAGGTACATCTAAACATCATGAAATGATCCATAAACATGAAATCATGAACCTTGAATCCATAATCCAATTTAAGGAAAGCTAGGATCAAAGTCAAGAGAAGTTAAGAGTCAAGTCTAGAAGCTAAGAAGCAAGTCAAACAAAGTTTTTAAAGTTTTCAAAAGTCTTTTAACAAACGTTTTAACTTTGTTTTAAGACTTAAGTTTCAAGTTAAGCAAAGAGTAAAGAATTGAGTTCATTTCTCAAAAAGCTATTAGGGAACTAAGTATTCCCAAAGAGTTTATAAATGTTTTCACATTTGAGCAAGAAGAGGGAACATCGATTCCAAGAGAGCTTTTAAGCTAAATTTTGAGTAATTATCTCAAACCAAAGAAAGAAGTTGTTTTAAAATATATGAGCTAAGTATATTTTTTGGGAGTAGTATTGAGCACCGATATAGGGATGCGAGTTCATATTAACTCAAGTCTCCATAAGCCATGTAGCCATCATGGATATTAATGGGTCATACATTTTAGATGATCACATAAGTTAAGCTAGTGGATCCACTAAGTTAAGCGTTCTATATGAAGACAAAGTATAGGTCAGTTCTGGCAGCGCGGGCAAGACGTTGTATCACCACTTAGGCTCATAGTGGAGGTTGTCGGTTAGAGAATATCCCACAAAAACTATATTACTTTATTATATGAGTAAAGTTGAGTTTATTATCACATTTATTTAACGAACTAAGTTGCTTTTACTATTTTAAAAAGCTTTCCATATATTGCATATGTTTCATTGTCTTATTTTGAGTTAAGTATTCATAAGTTGAGAAAAGCCCATGTAAGTGCTTCTTCGGAATCTTTTCAATCATTTGTATTGTTTAGCATTCCAACTCGCATACTCGTACATTCAATGTACTGATGCCAGTTGGCCTGCATCATCTTATGATGCAGATGTAGGTAATCAAGATCAGCATCCAGCGCCTCTTTGATCCAGCTTGAGCACTCAAAGTCTGTGGTGAGCCTCCTTGCATTCGGAGGATTCCGTTATTTGCTTTCTAGTTTAGTTCATTAGGATGTTGTGGGGTTTGTCCCAACATCCATCTTAGTTGTTTTAGAAGCTTCATATACAGTCAGTTATTAGTTCTTTAGTCTTCTTATTTTATCTTATGTTAAGACTTGGGTTGCCGTTTTGGTCAAGTTGAATGTTTAATTCTTTTAACATTCTAAATTATATTATAAAGCTATTTGAGTAAGTTCATTTGATCATTGTAATTATGCTTAAAGTCTTCTGCTAAGTTAAGTAAGCCAGGCCAAGGGTTCGCTTGGTGCCAGCAATGGTTCTCGAGTGTCAGCAACGTCCAGGGTGTAGGCTCGGGGCGTGACACAAACAGACAAAAATCAGTCAAAAACTATAATTAGAATTCCTAACTTATTATTTTTGACCTATAATTAGTCATAAATCACAATCTCATCCAAACAAATTCTAATTTTATAAGTTGGTCAAATTGACTTATAAAAGATATTTGACTTAGCGTATTAGCTGGTCAAAGTGTTGACCAAGCTTATTTTTAAAAATGATGTGTTTGGCTAGATTTTTACGAGAGAATAAGTGTTTTTTCGTAGTACATAGTAGTTGAAGTTGTTTTCCGCATTAAAACCTAGTTTGAAGTTGAAATATATTCATTTATAGTCTTATAGAGTCTTTTAATTATTTATGAGCTAACCAACATGATTAGTTGTGTAGGTGAGCTTAATTGGAGAAACAAGCGCAAAAAGGGACAATGGAAGAACATAGAGGATTCAAGTCAAAAGAGAGCAAGGAAGAACCTGGAGGAAAAGCCACTAAGGCATTGTCGTGCCCTCTCCGCGTCACGGAGAGGAGTCCCAAAATTAATTCTAGGAAGCTATTACGAGCAGAATGCTCCGTGTCACTCCTTCGTCGTGGAGACGACAAATTTGCCCAGAGTCAAATCCAAGCAGCCTCTCCGCATCGCGCCTTGAAGTCCCAGATTTGGCCGTTTTGACTTTTAGTATAAATAGGTCGTTATTTTATTTTTTTTATTTTTTTTGGGTTTTGAAGAATGACGATTTTGGAGTATGTTTTTATTAGTTTTAGGGTTAATTCTTAACCTTCTGTCCTTTCGATCTCTTGATGATTCTTGAACATTATTTGATTGATTGTCGGATTATAAGTAGCTAAATACCCTAGTTCTAGGGTTGTGGCTACAAGACGATTGCAATCTATTGAGTTTGTTATTGGGTTTATGTCAACTATCATATGAATCTTTCTTCTGTTCTTATTTTTCGTATTTCATGATTGATCGTCATAGAAATAAACTCATTGTCCAAATGAAACTTGAGAGAGGAATAAGAGGATAGAACATGAGGCATAAGAAGTATGTTTACCTCTAAATAGTTAGGGTTGATTTGTATCTAGGTTGGGGATATACCTAGAAACCTTAATTGGGTCACCATATACAGGAAGAAATTGTAATGCTCGATATTTAATCCATTTTATCCCCGCTCAACAATGTAGTTAGGGTGTTATTTATCGTAGACGATTAGAGGTCGGGAGACCATGATCATACATCTAACCCTGTGATTCATTGATTCGATAGTTGATAATTACCCATTTAAATGATATTGCTTGCATGAATCTTGATAGAAGTTGCAGCCCTGGACTTCACTAAATTATTGTTTTAACCCTTTGAAATTGAATCGCTTTTGTTACATTTTATTTTAAGTATAGAAGTAGAAAATAAATCAACTTTGAAATCTGGAAATACACTTGTGTGAGCTAAAAGTTAGAGGAATTAAGTGTTTCTAAGAGTAAGTCCATGTAGGTACGATACCCGACTCTTAAAAAAAGCCACTTTAATACTTGAACGACCACGTGCACTTGCGTGTGCGATTTGGCCGCAATAAGTTTTTGGCGCCGCTGTCGAGGACTTTAGAATTAGAAATTATTTGATTTTTCTGACTTCTGAAGTTAAAAAGCAAGTGTTAGATAACCTAATCTTAGCATTTCATTTTTAAAGGTTAATTTGAAGCATCAAACTGGACGCTGATCAAGGATTGGTATCGCCCTTAGCTTAACCGAAAAGGTTTGTTCATTACCAGAGAAGGCAAATACGACTTGTTTATCCTGTCCCTCTGATGGCTAGTGAACCAACATCTCCAGTAGCACCAGTTGAGGAGGAAGAACCTAAAGCAATGACTGAGTTGAAGGTAAGAGACGTGGCAATCCCACGCCCCACCAATGTGACCTCATGCATTCAGAAACCTGAAGCTGGTGGGAGGTTTGAATTGAAGCAGAGTATGGTGCAACTGTTGCACATTAATAAGCAGCTTACTGGTCTGTCACACGAGGATCCAATTGTTCACATACAGAACTTCCTCGAGATCAGTGATACTTACACTCCAACTAGAGTGAACAAAGATTACGTGAGGTTCACTTTATTCCCCTTCTTTCTGCTTGGGGAAGCAAAAGATTTAGCATAGATGTTCCTCATTAATTTATTTCTATGGTGATCAATCATGAAATACTGAAAATAAAAACATAAGAAAGATTCATATGATAGTTGGCATTAACACCTAGGATGATTTAGCATAGATGTACCTCATTAGATTTTTTCCATTTAGAAAAACAGCTAAGTTGAGGAGTGATATTTTGAGTTTCAGACAAAAAGGTGGAGAAAACTTGTACCAAGCTTGGGACAGGTTTAAATTAATGTTAATGAGTTGCCTACATCATCATCAGTCTAATGAGGTGTTAGTCCATACCTTCATTGAAGGATTGGAGCCTAACACCAAGATTTTATGTGATTCAATTGCAGGTGGTCAGGCTTTGGAGAAGACTTATGCTGAACTCTTCACCCTACTGAACATAATTTCTCAAGGCAATCTTGAATGGAATGGAGGAGGGATGAAACCTATGGTACAGAAAACTGTAGGTATGCTAGAGGTAGAAGTTTGACTGCTTTAACTACACAGATTTTTGCTATGCAGAATGTGATGAGTACCCACTTCAGCAATCTGGCATTAGGACAACAGCCCGCACAGGTAAATGCAGTTCAACAATCACCATCTTGGTGTGAGATCTGCGGAGGTAGTGATCACAATGCAGAGGTATTTGGTGCAAACTCGAACTTGGTAAATTTTGTAGGTAATGCCCAACGAGGAGGAGGCAAGCAGAACTATGAAAACTCATACAACCCAATTTGGCGCAACCACCCAAACTTTTCATGGGGTGGAAATCAAAATTAGGGCAAAGGGAAGAATCAATATAGGCCTAAAGGAAATGCACATGGCTACCAACCACAGGCCCAACGGGAACAACCTAAACAACAATCTGGAAACATGAGCGTGGAGGAGATGCTGAAAAAGATCATGGCTAATCAAGCCTAGTTAGCTGCTGATGTGAGAAATAATCAGTTAGCTACACAGAATCTGGAGAAGCAATTCGGGCAGTTTGCTAGTGCCCAAAATTCACGACCGCTAGGAGGGTTGCCTGGAAATACTGACCCCAATCCTAAATAGGTAAACGCGGTAGGTACATGCAGTGGTCTACAATTGGAGAAGTTAGCTCCTAAGAAAATAAACACTGAGGTGGTGAACAAAGAGAACGAACCTAAGGAGAGTGAAGTTGTTTCACAATAAGAAAGAGTTCAACCAATTGTGAAACCACCTTCTCCATTTCCTCAGAAGTTCAAGAAACAGAAAGAGGATGAATGTTTTGGTAATTTTCTCTCTCTCTTGAAACAAATTCATAATAGCTTGCCATTGGTAGATGTTTTGCAGGGTATACCCATGTATACGAAGTATGTGAAGGAGATCGTAGCCAATAAAAGAAGGTTGACAGAGTATGAGACTGTTGCACTTACTGAAGAGTGTAGTTCCAAAATCCAGAACAAGCTGCCCACTAATTTGAAAGATTCGGATAGTTTTACGGTCCAGATCACTATCGGGCACAGCATTCATGCACAAGGGTTGCGTGATCTAGGATCCAGTATCAACTTGATGCCAACTTCCTTGTACAAAAAGTTGGGATTGGGTAGTCCAAAACCTACTACCATTATCTTACAGTTGGCTGATAGATCTGTAGCTAGGCCTGAGGGTGTTGTAGAGGATATGTTAGTGCAAGTGGGATCATTGATTTTCCTAGTAGATTTTGTTGTGCTAAATTTTAAGCCTGATCCTGAGGTCTCATTCATCTTGGGAAGACCTTTCTTGGCTACTGGGAGAGCAATGATAGATATAGCAGCTGGGCAGCTCACTATGCGGGCTCATGATAAGGTGAAGGTGTTTGATGTATACAAAGCTTTGAAAGTGCCAGCGGTGTATGAGGAGTTGTATACCATAACTGTGATAGATCTTGAGGCAGAAGCTCGATACATTGCATCTAAGGACCATCTAGAGCGAATGTTGGTAGGTGATGATATATATGGGGATGCTCAACCACAGAAAATTGTGCAAATTCTGGATGTGGCACTTCTAATTATATCTGGAGAGAGATGGGTGCCTTTGAATAGAGTGTTGGGTCCTCCACCCAAACCCACCATTGAAGAAGCACCCAAGCTGGAATTAAAAGCATTGTCAGCCCACCTCAGGTATGCATTTTTGGGTAAAGACAAAACTATACCGATTATTTTATCTGCAGCATTATTTGATAAACAGGTGAAAGCAGCATTACTCATTCTGAAGAAGAGAAAAGCAGCTTTGGGGTGGCAAATGTCTAACATCCATGGTATTAGTCCTGCACTGTGCATGCATAAAATATACATGAAGGAAGGGTACAAGGCAAGTGCATAGCATCAGCGGGGACTAAATCCATTGATGAAGGATGTAGTAAGAAAAGAGGTCATCAAGTGGCTGGATGCAGGGATTGTGTACCCCATATCTGACAGTAAATGGGTAAGTCCAGTACAGTGTGTGCCCAAGAAGGGCGGAATGACAGTGGTAATGAATGAAAATAATGAGTTAATCCCCACAAGAATAGTGACTGGGTGAAGGATCTGCATGGACCACAGAAAGTTGAATGATACCACCAGGAAGGACCATTATCCGGTACCTTTCATTGATCAAATGTTAGACATGTTGGCTGGCCAGGAGTACTATTGTTTCCTTGATGGTTATTCGGGGTACAATCAGATCATTATTTCACCAGAGGATCAAAAGAACACTACATTCACTTGCCCATATGGCACTTATGCATTCAAGCGCATGCCATTCGGCTTGTGCAATGCCCCAGCCACATTTCAGAGATATATGATGGCAATTTTCCATGATATGGTGGAGGATTTTGTTGAAGTGTTGATGGACGATTTCTCAGTGTTTGGTGAGTCTTTTGAACTTTGTCTGGCTAATCTTGACAGAGTTCTTGCTAAGTGTGAAGAGACCAATCTGGAGCTGAACTGGGAGAAGTATCACTTTCTGGTAAGAGAGGGAATTGTGTTGGAGCATAAGATCTCCAAAAGTGGGCTGGAAGTGGACAAAACAAAGGTGGAAGTGATCGAGAAACTGTCGCGGCCCATCTCAGTGAAAGGAGTGTGAAGCTTCCTTGGGCATGTTGGTTTCTACAGGAGGTTCATCAAAGACTTCTCCAAGACTGCAAGACCCATGTGCAGCCTGTTAGAGAAAGAAATGAAGTTTGTTTTTGATGAAAAATATTTGCAGGCATTCGAGTTGTTGAAGTAGAAGTTGATAGAAGCTCCGATTTTAATTGCTTCAAATTGGGAGCTTCCATTTGAGCGTATGTGTGATGCCAATGACATAGCAGTTGGAGTAGTGTTGGGACAGCGAAAAGACAAGATGTTTCACTCCATATATTATGCGAGCAAAACACTTGATGCAACCCAATCAAATTACACAGTTACAGAGAATGAGATGTTGGCATTAGTGTTCGCATTTAATAAGTTTTGATCATACTTGGTGGGAACCAAAGTTATAGTCTATATTGATCATGCTGTAATTTGGTACTTGTTTAATAAGAATGATGCCAAATCGAGGCTGATTAGGTTGATTCTGCTACTACAAGAGTTTGATCTAGAGATAAGAGACAGGAAGGGAATTGAGAACCAAATAGTTGTTCATCTGCCCAGACTGGAGGATTCATCTCATGTGAAGAATGAAGGGCAAATTCGTGAAGAGTTTCCTAATGAGCAATTGCTTGGTGTGGACATTGCTCAAGTGTCTTGGTATGCTGATATTGTAAATTTTCTGGTGAGTGGTTTATATCCACTTGAGGCATCAACACATCAAAAACAGAGGTTGAAGTATGATGCACACTTCTATATTTGGGATGAGCCATACTTATTCAAGCAGGTTCCTGATCAAATGATGAGAAGGTGTATAGCTGAGCAGGAGGCGACACAAGTTTTGGAGAGTTGTCACTCTTCACCATATGATGGACATCATGGAGGCGAACGAACTACGCATAAGGTATTGCAATCTGGTTTCTTTCGGCCTACTTCATTTAAAGATGTTGTTTTGTTTGTGAAAGGTTGTGATCAATGTCAGCGGATGGGCACCATTTCAAGGAGGCATGAGATGCCATTAAGCAATATACTGGAGGTTGAGATCTTTGATGTGTGGGGGATAGACTTCATCAGACCATTCCCATCGTCCCGTGGTAATCAATACATTCTAGTCGCAATGGAATACGTCTCTAAGTGGGTGAAGGCTATTACATTACCAACTAATGATGCCAAAATGTTTGTCAAGTTCATTAGAAATCACATCTTTACCAGGTTTGGAACACCAAGGGCTATGATCAGTGCTGGAGGTACGCATTCTATCAATAATTCAGTGCATAATCTGTTAGCCAAGTATGGGGTGAGGCACAAAGTGGCTACAACATATCATCCCCAAACTAGTGGGCAGGTAGAAGTGTCGAATAGGGAGGTCAAACGGATTCTCCAAAAGACTGTGAATGTCCAAAGAAAAGATTGGGTTGACAAGCTAGATGATGCCTTATGGGCATATCAGACTGCATACAAGACACCGATAGGGACTTCTCCTTATCGAATCGTGTTTGGAAAAACTTGTCACCTACCAGCTTAATTAGAGCACAAGGCATATTGGGCGATCAAGAAGGTGAATCTGGATGCTGAGTTGGCATGTAGGAAGAGAATCGCATAGCTGCACGAGTTAGAAGAGTTTAGGCTTCACGTCTATGAAAATGTGAAGTTGTACAAAGAGAAGACCAAGAGGTGGCATGACAACCATATTGTGTCGCGCACCTTTGAGCCTGGTCAATTAGTGCTGCTATTCAACTCAAGGTTGAAGTTGTTCCCCGTAAAGCTCTGATCTAAGTGGGGTGGCCCTTTTGAAGTTGTGAGAATGACCCAACATGGTGATGTGGAATTGAGAAACAAGGATAAAAGCTCTACCTTCCTAGTAAATGGTCAACGAGTCAAGCATTATTTCGGGAAGGATATAGATCGTGAGCTTGAAGAGTTCACATTAAATGATGAATGAGTCATGAGATAGGTCGTGCCGCGACATTAAATCAAGCGTTACGCTGGAGGCAACCCATGAACCACTGCAATAGTTAGGATTTTTTTGTTTTTGTTTGTTTATTTTAGATCTTAGGAATTATAAAAAAAATAAAACAAATGATATATTCAGAAAAATACAAATATATGAGTTGTGTCACGACCAAAATTAAGGCGCTGGATGGGAAGCAACCCATCGTGTTTTCACTAATGGGTTACATGTTGAAAATGTGCAGGAAACAGGAACTTCGCCGAAGGCAGATA